CATTAATCTGATAGCACTGTTGCTCTTTAGCAGTTATCTCTTCTTTATCAGATGCCATCCCCTGAGTAATTTGATTTAATACATCTGGTACTGAATCCGATGCTTTTTTCCTTGTATCTTGAGGTAACCCTATCAATTATTTTGACCATTGATCTTGTAGTCTTTCATAAGATTGCTCCATTATTTTCATCATGATGATACAATAATATGAATGAATGATTTTGGTTTTACTGTTACAGAAACCTTTCATGAATTATTTGCATGTTTTTTATAATTAATGTATATAACAATACTTAAATAAAGACGGCAAATATAAAAGCACAAATGCAAAATGAAAACGCAAAGATGCAAATGTAAATGCAAATGCAAAAATGTGGATGTAAAATGATGATGCAAAGATACAAATGCATGTATGAAAAAGATGTTACTCAAGAGTGGTCATCTTAAAACAGATTTCATTGAACACAAAAGTTTCGGTGCATCAAACAAAACTTTTACATGTAGGGGATAGCTTTCACTCCTAACTTCTCTATTTCCCTTAAAAGCCAAATTAACTTCCACTCATACTCAGGTGTGAAGTTGTCAATCTGCTTTAATTCTCTCATGAAACTGGCTAAATCGACCAGTTTATGAGCCACATTATTTGCTTGAGCAGCAACTTCCTTCATGATATTGTATTTTTCCTTCATCTTCAGTGTCAATTCTCAAAATTATAGACAATGTTGTTCATTTTTTCTTGTGAGAGAATCTTTATGTTCAAAAAGTTCTCGTGCAAGATCCCCATAACCATCTAAACATTTTTTTCAATATCGTGTTCTTGGCCATAGTGGCTTTTGATTCAGCATCGATCTCAAGCTGATGGATCTGATATGATGCTTTCATGTTGGTCATAGAACTATTCAACATTTGATTTTTGGCTTGACATCTTTTCAAATCACTGACAGATGTATTGCATCTTTCTTCTGCAACTCGTAAATCATGAGAAAACTTCTTAGCTCATCCTTCATTTATGTTGCAGTTCTTTTTCAGTTTGGTGACCCCTGTTATCCACTCTTCTGGGTGTTTCCTATGCGAGCATTTTGAAAGGCTTGACTGACCTTTTGGAAATCCTCTTTCATGGTTTCCAGTTCTGTGTTCAATTTCTTGTTTTTCATTCTTTAAATGATGCATTTGAGCCTTGTTTATCAGCAAATCTTCTTTCTTCTGGACACCCCTACTGATATTCTTACCTTTGACCATTTTTAGTATTAATCTAGCATGACCTTCAGTTAACAAACTAGGTTGATCATTTATCCTAGACTCTAAGATTCCATGATCCAAAAGACATTGGACTCGATGTTTGAAGGCAAGACAATTCTCAATGGTATGTCCTTGAGCTCCGACATGATATTCATAATAAGCGTTGATGTCATACCAATTCAGATACGGAGGTTGGAACGGTTTTATGGAGTATTAATCTAGCAGGACCTTCAATTAACAAACTAGGTTGATCATTTATCCTAAACTCTAAGAGTCCATTATCCAAAAGACATTGGACTCGATGAGAACCGCCTTTTGTCTTGGATTGAACCTGAGTTTCAGACTTTGGGAGCAGACTAAACCTCGATGATTTCAGTTTACATGATTTCTTCCCATTTCTAGGAACTTTTACAGTTGTCACCATTTCCTGGGTATCTCCAGATAATTTTTGAATACGAATGATGACTGTCTGTAATTTCTCAAATTGGTTAGGATCAGAAGTCCCTTGTATATCTGAGATTGCAGGATGATTTTCATTGAGCTCTCTCTCTTTTTGTGCAGGAATCTCTTTTCCTTTGGCCAAAACAGATATTCTAACCATCATCTTGGACATTTGTTATCTTATTTCTCATATCTCCTTTTTCTCCTCAACAGGCATACAATCTTTGGGTGCATAGCTCTCCTCTATCTTCGGAGTTCCCTCAGGATGTCTTTCCTTAGCTGTGTCATAGTTTGCTTGATCATAAACTTGTTGTCCATTTATGAATTCTTTCCAATTTGATGTCCACTCTCAAGAGTCAACACCTTCTGTTTATGTCATGATCATGCAATGCAAGCACAAGAAATCAATATAAACAAATTAGAGCAAACTACAATATATCTACAAAATAGATAACAATAAAATGGTTAGTACCAACTAATAGAAAGAAAAGATTCTATCTATCATGGTATATAATATATCCCAACCTCATGCTTTCTAGTTCCATACTTTGTTTGGAAAAATTAACCTAACCGTATTATTACTAGTTCGCAGGCATTTATTTAGAAGAAAATAAAATCAAATAAATTAAAAGCTAGAGCTTATTTCTCCTTTGTGTACCACTACATACAAAGTTTCATCACTGTCTTAGATCTGGTGAATTTCTAGGGTTTATTATATGCAAGGTTTCAGTTCTATGAGTAAAGGTACTCGAATTATCTTTGTTGATGCCCCTTGGGCTGTCAAACCCTCAGTCCTAGTCCATTACAGACTTAAAGCGGATCGAGTTCAATTTGAGGGGACACATTTCTCTATGACTGACACAAAGAATAAATTCTCATGAAGACATAGAGCATATGAACCCCGAAAGCTACTAACTAGGTCTAACACGGAGAATAAATTCTCACGAAGACGTCGCTTTCACTCCCACTTAAAAAGGAAAGAGCTCAATTATAGAGCTATGTTAATGCAATGTATGTGTTGTGTGTGAGAAGAAATTTTCACGCAAAAATTAATATCTAAAAAATATAAACATTAATATATAAGGATATAAAAATAATAAAGGATAAAAAATAATTTAATGAAATAAAAAGAATCATAAATTAAATAAAATTGGATTCTCAATTTCTAATTATAGAGACAACATATAATCGACTTAGGTTGACCAATGTCCCCAGTGGAGTCGCCAAGCTGTCGTAACAGATTTTCGCCCGGGCACGAAATTTTACTTGGCAGAAAAAGTAATGTGAATAAATATGGCTTTTTTAAAGAAATATTTTGGAGTCGCCATCGTCCTTTTGGATTAGGTAGGTCGAATACCTAAAAATCATATTTTAAAAGAGTTTTTAAGAAAACATCAGTTAAAAGATAAATTGGTTTGTGTTTAACCAAAAATTTGTTCTTTCTAATAATAAAAAGGGATTCGTGGTCGATTACGTTTGGGAAGGATTAGCAACCCCACAACTCCCAAAATTGGTCACTGTCGATTATAAATTATCTCTAATAATAGAATTTACGAATTCAAATATAAATTTAATTTATGATCCTATTATTCCATATTCAATCGAATAATTCTAAAAAATATATTTAAAATAATGTTTTTTTTATAAATAGAGTATTTATTTATTTAAAAATATTAGAAAATGACATATAGTTGCTTTAAGACAACCCCTTTCTTCAATATTAATAAATAAATAAAATATGATAATTTTTCCTAAGGAAATAATTTAAATAAAACAATATATATATATTATGGTTTTTATAAGCAGGATATTTATTTATTTTTAAAATACCAGAATAAGACATCTAGTTATATTAAAACTGTATTTTCTTTGATATTAAAAAAATAAATAAATACTATTAATTTGTGAAATTTATCAAATAATATTTACAAATCTTTCATATGCACATATATATATATATATATATATATATATATATATATATATATATATATATATATATATATATATATATATATATTAGCATGACTAAAATAAAATAATAATTAAATAATAATTAAAGTAAAATACTAATTTAAACATATTGAAAGATAAAGTACAATAAAAAATAGAATAAAGTTGCAATAAAATGACCAAAATAAAATGAATTAAAAGCTTATAGTATTAAAATATAAATTATATAAATATTAACGAAAGACAGAATTAAAATGATCATAAATTGATTTCAGTGACTATAATGCAAAGTTTCAAAACAATAATAGTTGCTGGTATAGTTTACCCATTATGAAATTATGCATATACCCCTACCCAAAACGGCGTCGTTTGGGAAGGGGTATATAAACCCAACGACCGGCCGTTAAGGGCCATTTTTCTCATTTATTTCCTCTCTTTCTCTCCCTAGATGAGAGATTATAAATCTCTCTCGCTTCTCTCTAGCTTCCCTCACCGGAGGGAATTCCGGTAGCCACCGACCACTGTACTCTGGTGGCGATCGCCATTGCCAGCTACCGCGAGCGGTGGTCGAAAAATTTAAAATTACCCCAAAATGTAGATCCCGTCGTCCTAAGGACGAATCCAACCTCTTTTTCCCTTAAACAACCCCGAAATTACCTAGATCTACAGAAATACCCACAGTATTTCGATTTCTTTGGCGGTGTGTGGAGGCTCTGACGACGGTGTAGCTTCCTCAGTGGTAAGTCTTCTTTTTTTTCTTTTGGTTTTGTAGCTGTGGATTGCTTGTTCTTGCCGTTGGTTGCTCTCGTTCTTCTCCCTCTCTTTGCAGGTTCGATGGCAATATTTATAGGCCACCACCGAGCTACCTTCGAACCGGTCATAGAGTGGTTTCTCGGTGAGTCACTACACTATAGTGGTGACTCACCACGGGGCATCGACGTGGGGGGCTGCTGGCTTCTGGAATCCTCGGCGAGAATGGCGTCATGGCAGTGGGGTGTCGGCAAGGCGGCTGGAAGCTTCATCCTTAATTTAAGGCGCAGCGACGTTGGGTGATGAAACCTTAGTAGAAACTCTGAATGGGTTTAAGGTTTCTATGGGGCCAATTGTAAATGGGGCTTTGGGTTTGGTTGTAACTGGGTCGGGTTTGGGCTTAAAATGTAAATAAAATTATTTATATAATAATAATAATAAAATAAAATGAAAAAATTAGAGTCTACAATGAGATTTATAATTTATTTTATTAATAAACATATTACAGATAATTAAAGTAACCACAAGCAATAATGTTCGGTTTTAGTGTTGAATGTTGATACTTGATTGATAACTTCTGAATCTCACACTGTCATCGATCACAGCTTCAAAACTCGTTTCACTAATCACTTCTCAATCTCTTTTATAACATATTATATAATTAAAACAACAAACGAAGATGACTAAAAACCATAATTCAAATAACCAGATCTCCCTTTACTTAAACCTCATCCTCATGAAGAAGCATATTAGGGATCCCCTTACTAACCGGAAACTTCCTGCCAGTCTCGGGGCAAACAAGGGCACCTTCCTCGAGATGAAGCTCCAAGAGGGAGTGATGGAACATTCTCAAGAACTCAAGGTCGGAGTCCAGCGCCGATGGATCAGGTCTCTCCTCGGGAAGCTCGACGAAGCCCATGATTCTGGAAGCATCGGACAGGGCTTTCCAGTCGATCTTGGGGAAAATGTTGCGGAGGAAATCGTGATTGATATCGACTTGCTTCTCCACCACTTTTTCCGCTTCGATCCTAAGAGGGAAGCCATTGGTAACCCCCTTGATGTTTGAAGACAACATGTTGTGGGTTAGCAACCTCATCTCTTTCCCTTTCTCTGTTTTCGTTTTTCTTTCGCTTTCTTTGTTTCGGCTTCGCCGTTAAATTAAGCATAAAAGCAGAAGGCCTGCTGATACTAAACTTGTTTGTTAGGGTTTTGTATGTTCCTTGTGTATTAGGGTGGGTTTTGCCTTGTTCAAAGGACGAATGTGTCCTACCGTCCTTTTTAGTGAAAAGGTGTCAAGATTTTTGTACTTAAAAAAAAAGGGTAAACTACATAAATGACTATCTAATTATGAGTTTGGTCTTGAAATAACTATCATTTTCAAATTTGTATCAATATGACCAATGAACTATTTCAATTATTTTAATATAGTCACATGTCGTTAATATTTAAAAAAGGTGTTTACGTGACAGTTAACAAAATTAGTATAACTAGGACTTGAGTCCTTGTAAAGTTACGTGTTTGTGGCTTTGGCAACCTCTTTGTTTTATTTCATTTTAGTCACTACTTGTATATGATTTGTTTCCTTGGATTTTCATTTAATGCAATTTGATCCTGATTATGTTTTTAATTAGTCTAATGCCTTAATTTGAACATTAACATTAAAATCTTTTATTCTAGCAATGTATTAAATTTATAGATTAAATCTTTTAGATTTTAGAATTAATCGATGAGCCAATTCTTACACTTGTTATCAAGATAATACATATGTTATATAACGTGTAGGTTTAGGTATAAAAATAAAAATAAAATAACTTAATTGCATTTGAACCTAATATCAGTTAGTAACCAAACAAAGCCTTAACCAATAGGCTAAATACAATATTTATGAATCAATTAAAATATTTTTATATATTATAGTTAATGATATGGATAAAAATAGACAAGTGAAGACTTAAATCCAAGTCAACTGAAAATATAATAACACATAAATTGCTAAAAATATAATATATTATTTAAAATTAATTTAAGATTTTAATATTTTTAAATTAATTTAATTTTTTTATATTTATTTATTAATTATTATCTATATGAAATTATATTTAAAACCAAATTAAAAATTTATTTAACATACAGGAACTTACGAGCATAATTTAAAATCAAAAGATAAATTTATAATTTGAATCTTACATATTTTTTCTTACGATTATAATTTGAATATTAAATTATTTTTAAAGATTTCATATATATGGTCATTAAAAAATGAAATTATTTTTCATGTCTAAACTTGAACGGGTTATATAACATATGTGTTATCACAATAACAAGCGTAGAATTAGCTTAATGGTTAAGACATTTGTAGGTTACCCTTGGGGCCCAAGTTAGATTCCCTTGGGTGTCAAAACTCAACATATATAATTTAATCAAAAACAACAGTTTAATAATGTAGTATATATTAAGTAAAACTGCCTAAAAACTACTTAAATTAAATTCATCTATACGAAAATAAAATACAATTTAATAAAATACTATTCATATCTAATAATGTTCCTTTTGAAAACTAAACATATATAATTTAATCAAAAACAACTTTAGACATATTCGAATTAGAGCATCAAAACACATAAATATACATGCCAACTAAGAATGATAAAAACATAAAAAAAATGCCATATTGATTCTCGATGTATGAGCTGGTCCTCAAAATGTGGGATATCAGGCCCGGCTCCTTATTTTGTTAACTTTGCTTCACCTACGTGTGAAACAATCACATGTTAAGTTTTCACTTAGTAATGCAATCAAGTAAAATAAATAACATACAAAATAAGTATCATCGTATATAAAACAACATTATTAAAATAAAAACATGTATGAAATAGAAACAATTATTAAAATCCTTTACGTATACTAGTAATATGTACTATTCTATTTCAATTCATATTATTGACCACAATATTATCATGAAAATATAAGGTACGCGAGTCTATAATTGAGTGTTCAATACTATATGCAGAATTATGTAATTATATTGCACATTTAATGCATTGTAATTGTAGCATAGGTGCCTTGTACAATTAAAGATACTGTAGAACACATCAACAATGTACATATAATCCCGAATACATATATGTATACGGTAACTATACTATACAAGAATATACCTCAGTATGATCGATCATTAACACTCCACCTACGACATGCCAATTGTACCACTAACTCTTAAGTCACATACAATGAATTTTTATCAAAATCATATGCTATTTCATATATAACAAACATCCATATAGAATATCAAAGTCTCGTAAAAATTTAGGTATTAGGTAGTTCAAACCCAAAGCATTCATACACTGTATAATAAAACATTAATAAAATACATGCCTTCAAAATACGATTTTAAAACATTTTCTTTTCAAATTCATAGATGTTGACTCATCGCAAGCCTTCCTCGTATTATCTTTAATAATAAGTTTAGTTACACTCACCTGATACCTCACTAATGTGACTTACTTATACTATCGCTTTCACTCTCGAATTTTGTCCTTTTCTTTTAACCCGCTTTGGTCTTGATTTCGATCACGATCTACACGAACATCGTTTATCCAATATATAAAATTTCAAACATACATTAATGCTTTAACTAACATAATAAACTTGTATTCGTATAAAATTTCTTAAGATGAAATTAATGCATAATCGATACTAAATTTTCTTTCACTTAATCAGAGCTAACTTTATTTCCTTCAAAATACTCTTTCAAGTCCCTTTAATAATTATTTATCACTATAATTCACTTAACTTTTCTACATTTCACATTTAGCCATCAATAACCATTTCTTTAAAACCTATCCCAATATTTCAAAACATCCAAAATAGTTCGTTATTATTCCACTCAAATTCTTAACTATCACCATATTCAGCCATTCTCACAATACTTTCAAATTAGTACCTCAACATTACACTTTCCATTTCACCACCAACTTTCTCAAGACTTGTGAATTGATGGCTAAACTTATACAATTTTCCAAATCAATCGATTAGATATTCTAACAATAAGTTTTAGCATAATACAACTTTCCAACATTTTCATATTAATCCTATAACTTCTTAAACCATGCGGAAAAATCCTTAACAACTTAACAAAGTTCCAATTTACTCCAAAACAAAATTCCAAGCATATATGATCATTCTTATATCCATTATAAGCCCTTAGGAAACTTTTGTAAAATTTTCCAAATAATTCTTCACTATGACTGAATATTAGGGAGATTATTTCCAATGATCTCCAATTTAATTTAAGAATGAATTTATCATCTACACATCATTTCCGTTCAATTCAAATCATTTTCATAAAAAAAAAACTAATCAAATTCAACCATTTCTCAATAACCCTTATAATGGCCAAATGCTTCTCCAATGTCTTCTATTGATTTTCAATCCATTTTCATGCTTGTATATGATTCCATAACACTACCAACATCATAATCTAATCTTATTTCATTGAATTCTAACTTCCCCTTCATCCACCATATTCATCAATTCAACAATTCAAGCAAGGAAACAATGAAATATTAACACCAAATGAAAGAAAATTCAATGTAGAATATTTTTCTATTTCACAACTTAGTCCAAAATCCTAATAAAATGGCTCAAAAATGAAAAAGAAAGGTAGGCTCACCTTGTCTAAGGAGTACCCGCCTATGAAGAAGAAGAAGAGAAAAATTTCATGAAAATTCTACCAAAATATCTAAGACACTTGTATTAATTCTAAGTAAAATGAATTTTAGTACCAAAGTCCTTTCTACCCTTAATGAATCTTGATATTTAACTTTTTCCATGCTTTAATCATTTTATTAAATCATCATAATAATATAAAAATCATATCTATTGATTTCCATCTTTGCCCTTGCACTTTTCCAAAAATTTAAATGTAGTCACTTTAATTTAGCTATCCCACTTTAACATGGAAAATCCACTTAATTCCATGATTAAAGTTAAATTATACTGATTAAAAATATCATAATAATATTACTAACATCATACTATCATCCTTCAAATTTTGTAAACTTCCGATTTGATCCGATTATCCAAATATTTTATCGAACTTTATCGTTTAATAGCATTTTATACAAACCCTAGATAAAAAATCTGAAACCCACAAAAATATCATTCTTGGGGTGAACATTTCATTTACAGGGACAAAAATATAACTTTTAAAATTATATTTTGATCCTTAAACTTTTATAAAATTTATACTTTGGCCACTAAACTTTCAAAATTTATATTTTGGTCACTATAAAAAATTTTGGGATATTACAATTCTCCTCCCTTTAAGAAAATTCATCATTGAATTTTTAATCCATATCTACTGCAAAAAGGTGAGAAAACTGCTTTTTCATATCTTCTTTTTATTCCCATGTAACTTCCTCAATTTTATGATTACGCCAAAGAACCTTAACAAGTGGAATAATCTTGTTCCTAAACTCTTTGACTCTATATGCTAAAATCTTGACCAGTTCTTCTTAATAAACCAAATTCGATTGAATATTGATTTCATGCGATATGATAACATGAGAAGGATCTGATCGATACTTCCAAAGCATCAAAACATGAAAAACATTGTGAATCTTATCCATTTTCGGAGGTAAAACTAACTGATAAGCCACAAGACTAGCTCTTTCCAAAATCTCATAAGGTCCAATGAATCTCGGACTTAGCTTTCCTTTTCGTCCAAAGCGTAGAATTTTCTTCCAATGTGATACTTTAATAAACACTATATCACCTACTTGATACTCTATATCTTTCATCTTCAAGGTTGAATAAGACTTATATCAATCAACATCTATCTTAAGATTATCTTGTATAATCTTCACTTTCTCTTCTAATTCTTTGATCAGATCAAGTCCTATTCTTTCTTGATCTTTCAAGTCATACCAATTCAATGGTGGTCGATACCTTTTTTTCCATATAAGGCTTCATAGGGAGCCATCTTGATACTCGCTTGATAACTATTTTTATAGACAAATTCCGCTAAAGGAAAATATTTCTCCCATGATCCTTTAAATTTAATTGCACAAGCCCTTAGCGTATCCTAAAAAATCTGAATAGTATGCACAGATTGTCCATCCGTTTGTGGATGAAAAACAGTGCTGAAATTTATCCGAGTACCCATGTCGCTATATAAAGACTTATAAAATCTGTAAGTAAACCTT